CACTGCTGCACTATACCATTAACCACATTTCCCAAAATGTGACTAAGTGATTCATGAATTTATCAAAAAAAAATGTGTACTGAATATCTAGTATGTTCCAGGAACTATGGTGGTAAAGATTCAAAGACAAAAGAAAGATAAAAATTATATTACTTTGTGTGGATGGATAGATGATAGATAGATAGATAGATAGATAGATAGATAGATAGATAGATAGATAGATAGATAGATAGATAGATAGATAGCCTTCGTTAACCTGGAAAGGGTCTGTGGCTTATCAAGTACTGGGCATTTTTACATCTTCATTGTCTTCATATCCTTTGGGAGAGAAATATTACTGTTCCCATTATATAGATGAGAAAAACTGAAGACTCAAGAAGATGAAAAGAGGAGAATTGTGGGACTACTAAAACTGAATCATGATGAAATTTTTTTTAAACCTATTATTTTCAAGAGGGTAATATGAGTTGGTTGTTGTAACAGTCAGTTCAAGAATTAACTGGAAGAGCAACTCTTAGCAACAACAGTACAGCACAAATTCCCAGTTCCCTTACCCAAGCTGGGGGTGGGGTGGGGGTACATTTTCATGTTAGTGTACACTAAGAAAAAATGAAAAATGATTATTGTGGATTTTTGGTTCTGCATTGTAATAAAATGCCAACTGGCTTTTCTCCTTTCTTTTCTGGAAAATGTATTGTTTCTGTTCTCAGAACTACCACATCAGGTACTCTGAAGATTGTCTGTCATGCCAGCAAGGTGGCTTAGTGGGTAAAAGTGTTTACCATGCAAGCATGGAAATGCAAGTTTGATCTTCAGAACCCACAATGGAAAGTTGTCCTCTGACCTCTACATACATACCATGGTACCTACGCCTGTATGTACACATACCACATGCATGTATACACACATAATAATTTTTTTTAAGTTTAAAGGTTCTGTATGTTGATCGATCAAGAACACAGAGTAGTCCTAATCTAGAGCATCCATTCTCTAGGGGAATCAGAAACCAAACTGAAATAGAGCTCAAGGTATTTCAGACCTGTTGCCTGATTTCTGACAAGTTCATCTCACTTGTTTTTGCCTGGTCCCATGGGCCAAGATTACATTTCTTTGGCCATCAAACCTACAAGGAAGCACTTCACGTGACCCTCTCAAGAAGTTATGAGTACTTCCCCAAACAAAACAGTTTGGTCTCAGATGATATTTCCTTATACCATGTGTTTCTGATGAGTCCCTGGGTATGTGGCTATTTCTGTCAGAGCCTTGCTATTATACATTCTGTGTTTAAACAACAATGTCTGGCTCTTGTACCCCATGTGGTAACTAACATAGTACCACTACACTGACATTAATGGATTTTAATGTTGCCTGCTGTTCTGTGAGGACTATTTGGGAGATTGCTTTAGAGGAACAAACAAGTTACATCTTATTACAAGCCAGATAATCACAGTCCCTCTGCTTACTTTCAATTGAAATCCACAATTTCAGTCTTGGCCTGTGTGGTATACCTCCAAAGATCTAACCAACAGAATTCAGCTCTCCATCACTGCAAGGATAATTCTGAAATAGCCAGCAAAATATAGCATTAGTCTATTATATTCCCCTACATCCAAGGTTTCTCTAGCATGTCAAGGTTTTTGGAGGATTGTACCATCACAGAGAAATACTGACAAAATATTCAAGGAGACCTAAGCTCCTGAGAAAGGCTAAAAGTACTGCTGTAACTAGACATATTAATTAGACCTAGGCCTAGCACTTCCTGGATCTCTTAACTGGTTTTGCAGTTGCATTTGTGGTGCTCTCTATAAGTCATGTCCAAATCCAAACAAGCCAAGACAGCTCCCATCCTCACACCAATAGGTCTTGTGTTTGACACTGAAAACTGAGTCCGTGATTTCATTGTACTCCAATAGGCCCCATGTCTGACAACTAAAAACCAAGTCCATGATTACAACCACAAGAATGCCTTGAGTTCTGGCCCTGGTTTGTGTTGGCTGTGTAACTGAAGTCTGGTCATCAGTCTCCTCATCTAGAAAATGGGATTACTGCTAACCCCAACCATGTAAGCTTATCACTTGGAGTGAGGACCAAACACTTTATTTGTAGGAAAGCATTAGTGGCAATTACTATACAAACTGCATTTTTCCTATTTCTACTCTAACAAAGCTGTGAGATCACCCACTGTATTAGTCAGGGTTCTCCAAAGAAACAGAACCAGTAGGATGAATATATATGTATAGAGATTTATCAGCTTAGCTCACAGGATAGAGTCTGAGTAGTCCAACAATGGCTGCACCACACTGGAGAGGCTGAGAATCCGTAGTCACTCAGTCCACATGGCTGGATGTCTCAGTAGTCCCAATCTGGCACTGAAAGTCTGACGAATTCCAAATGATCAGCTAGTCTTCAGTCTACAGCAGCAAGATGAACTCCCCAGCGAGAGAGAAGGCAAGCAGCAAGAAGCCAGGCATTCTCCTCTGCCATGGCCTTTTATATGGGCTGCCATCAGAAAGTAACACCTACTTTTAGGGTTATGTCTTCCAGCTTCAGATGATCCAGTCAAGAAGATCTCTCTCATTTCAGTTAATCCCAGATGTAGTCAAGTTGACAACCAGGATTAGCTATCACACCCACCCAGGGTTCAGGTACTATTGTGGAAGAGGGGGCAGAAAGATTGTAAGAGTCAGGGGAGGAGGTACATGACCATAAGAAAACAAAGTCTTACAGGCTTCTGGGATCTTGCTCATATGAACTTACAGCAATGGTGACAACATGCACAAGACCCATGCAAACTCAAGCAGACAAAAACCAGCATAGAACTGGGGAAATGGATAGGAGGCCACAACTTTGGAGAACTATTGGAAGCTAATCACCATTGGATGAGAGAGAGATGATCATCTTTAAGGGAGCAGTGATACACAGGCTGAACAGATTCCAGTGGATGAACTCACACCGAGGAACATCTCAGTACACAAGCTTGACTAGGTTGGCCTTAACATATATGACAAAATGCACTAAGTCCTTTGGGCAGGCTGTGGGGGTAGGGAAGTGGATAGGGAAGTGGGGGCTAAATATGATCAAGATGTATTCTATGAAATCACAAACATTTAGTAAAAAACATATTTTAAAAAACTGTGAGGCCAGGCTTGGTGGCTCATGCCTTTAATCCCAGCACTTGGGAGGCAGAGGCAGGCAGATGTCTGTGAGTTCAAGGCCAGCCTGGTCTACCTAGTAAGTTCCATGTCAGTTGGGGCTACAGGGAAACCCTGTCTCAGAAAAGACCAAACAAACAACCAAAACTGTGAAAAGATAAAGTTTTTGTACACATTGTCATGATACAGTATTTGTGTGTATTTTCTTTAGAAAAGGGCAGTAATCAGGGGACCAGTGCCTAAGGACAAAGATCTGGAATCTATCTCTTGATAGATCACTTTTGTTTTCATGGTCTCTGTTTTTTCATTGGTACAGAAAACATTTTCCCTCTAAAGTAGTGGGGGACAGTGCTAAAATATTTAAATCATTGTAACCTCAAACCTTCTCTAATAACTCCTGATGGTACCTACTTTCTTGCCTGTCAAAACCCATCTCCCATTCTTGACCCTAGGTGATAAGGAAGCACCAACAACTGACTTCCCACTTTATCAGTAGGAACAAAAAGCAAGGACAGAAGAGGCACCCACCTGGTAGTCTCCCTTAGAAGCAGAAGAAGCTGTAAATATCCCTTCCCTTAAGTCTCTGGCTTGGTGCTTTCCTCACACTGATGCTTCATCATCATCCCAGTGACTTTCCCAGCCTCCCTGCCCCTGTTTTTATTCTTTGGCCTGAAAAAGAAAAGACAAGATGCTTAAACATATGGTGCCAATAAAGATGACTGTTCTACTAATCTTAGCCCTGGGATATGAACTTGTTTTTCATTTTTTGTTTTTTGTTTTTATTTATTTATTTAATGTATGTGTATGTTTTGCCTGCTTACATGTAAGTACATTGCCCACAGGGGCCAGAAGAGGGTGTCATATCTCCTGGCACTGGAGTTACAGATGGTTGTTAGCTGCCATGTGGGTGCTGGGAACCAAAACCAGTTCCTCTGTAAGGGCAGCCAGTGCTCTTTAACTACTGAGCTACCTTTCTAGCCCTGCTTTTTCTTTTGTTTGACCACCTTACTTTGTTTGTTTCCAGGACTACAGCATGAGGGAATTTTCCGGGTATCTGGATCACAAGTGGAAGTGAATGACATAAAAAATGCCTTTGAGAGAGGTGAGAGGGGAAACAGCCTTAAGATAAGTCCAAATATTTGATAGCCCTGGGGTGTTGACTCCACCTTTTTCCTGAGAGATTCCCTGGGCTTATGAAGCCTATAGATTGCCTTCTTTCTCCAAACTCCCCAGTAGATATGCAAAAAAATGCTGAGGCGTGTCCCATTTTCCTTCCTTCTTAGCCCCACCCATCCTGCCTCATTCCTATGATGATCTGCTAAAACCCCCAAAGTTACTAATATCCAGGCAGTTTATGGCCTCATTTAAAACCCTTGATGGTTGTTAATACCAAGGCTAATGTGCCTATTGAACAGATGATAGATATAGATATATAGATAGATAGATAGATAGATAGATAGATTATAATACCAAGGCTAATGTGCCTATTGAATAGATGATAGATATAGATAGATAGATAGATAGATAGATAGATAGATAGATGATTGATAGATGACAGATTAGATTAGATAGATAGATAGATAGATAGATAGATAGATAGATAGATAGATAGATAGATAGATAGTTTAGATTTTAGGTTTGTGTTATCATTACATTTAATTACAGCTGATATGAAATTTTCCATAGGGATTCTGGGATGACTGTCCTCATAAAACTTGGTATCTTTTGCTATGGGCCAAGAGACATAAGAGGTAGCCAGAGAAGCTGGCCTCCTGGCTTTGTTTTCCCTCCCCAATGGTCTCAGCCCCAGCCTGGTTTCATGGTTCTTGTGAGAGAAACAGTTCCCATGTTCCATCCCCAGACCACAGGGAATGTTGGTTAGTCTGAACAGTCTGCCACATCATGGCCATCATGCTGATCAGAGCACTGATCAAGAGACAAGGACATAAACAGGTCACCCCCTCTCCACCACCTCAGCTTCATCCTATGTGATTTGCCTATCTCACTCTCTTTGCTTTTGGGGTGGGGGCTACTTCCCTGTAGGAGAGGATCCCCTTGCTGGGGACCAGAATGACCATGACATGGACTCCATAGCCGGTGTGCTCAAACTTTACTTCCGTGGGCTGGAACACCCTCTCTTCCCCAAGGACATTTTCCATGATTTGATGGCCTGTGTCAGTAAGTACCATTGCGCCCCACTCATGGCAGCAAGAGATTTAGAAACTTCATGGATTTCTTCATTTCCTCATAAGCTTTTTCAGTAAAGTTTTCCTTTTTCCATTTCTACCAGTGTTTTTCTCCCTTTTATCTCCACTCCTTTATCCCTAGTGGGGAAGGAGGAAGAATGATTTGACAGAATCTAGGACCCAAGTCAAGACACCTGGCTTTTTCCTTTCCAATTTATCTCTGTCATAAACTTCTTTGCATCTCTGGGGTTTATACTCCTTTAGTGAAATGCTTTTATATTTACCTAAAAGACACAGTCTTTTTCAGTTACTTGAGGCTTGTACATTACTGCTTAGACTCTGAATAGTACCAAGGGGAAAACATAAGTGTTAACAATGTTCTCTGCTTGTTGCTTTTACAAACATGGCATGGCTTACCTGCTAGATATACTCATGTGTGCCTTCTGGGAAGAAATGCCCCTGTGCACATTTAAAAGTAGCATTTAATATTTTTCCAAAGAGAAAGATCTCTACTTTCTTCAGAGTTCTCTATTAGGGCTTGTAAAGCTATTCCTAGAAGGCATTCAGTTTGGGTAATGATACTAAAGCATCTGTCACTTGTTTCCATGGAAAACAATCCATGGAAATTTGAATTAATTATCAGGTCATCCAGGAAGCAGACCCTATCTGAATGATGGCCCCAAAGGGTACAGGGAACTATGCCTCTGAAATGCAGAAAAGGTCTTTCTTCCCAGATTGAACAAGGCATTTCTTGCCTCCTGAATTTTCAGTTTGGCTCAGCATTTGGCCTGAGTATTTGTCCCTGTCTCAGTTGTTCTGAGAAAAGCTCAGAGCATCCAAGATCCTGGCTCTCTTTGTTGCCAATGTATTTATTTGTGAGAGTCTATTGGAAAGAAGTTATGTAAGCAGTTACATGCATGCATCCCTTAGGTCATATCCTCATGTCTTTCCCAAGACCAGACCTAGGTGAAATGTCTTATACTGCACTGGAGTTGCCAAGATACACTAAGATTCCTTGGCTGCCCAGTTCTCCCCTACTCTTGCTCCCAATCCAATATTTACCCTTTTTTTTTTTCACATAAAGACACTTAGAAAATGATAGTGTCAGTATGGCACACTGGAAGTGGGGAGACTATTCGTAACAGGTCACAGGCATACCTGAAACTGTCTATAGCACAAAAGTCAAGCATCTTCTGTAGCCTTCTTTATAGGTATTGCTTCCAAGGTCCTGCCACGTCTACCTCTAGCCAGGCTCTATTCATTTTTTCTTAAGATAAAAGAGGAAGAAGGCAACTAGACATGTCCAGAGGCAGAGGTAACCCCTGTGTAGAGGGGTCAGGGCAGGACCTACACAGCCTCTGTCCCTCCTCAGGTGTGGGACCCTCTGAGACTGAGTGTTCAGCAGTCATAGCAGGTCTGAGATCACCTTCTTGTCTGTTGCTACTTAAATAAAAGGATGGTAGATATTGCAGAGGGGTAGACCATACCCAACTCCTCCTGTGCCCAAGAAGCATATACCTTGAATCCAGTATCAGTAAATGTGTGCCCTCTTACAACTGCCCCATTCTGTGGAACAACCAGGATGAAACTCTGGTCACAATCAATACCAGTGCTACATAAAGACTGGGTCTGTTGCTCTATGTGTCACACCTGCTTGTAATGAGAAGCTTCTGACTGTTAATCTCTGGAACTACAGTCACAGTGGAGGATAACACATCTTTCTTCTTTCAGCAATGGACAACCTGCAAGAGAGAGCTGTGCACATCCGGAAAGTCCTTCTGGTCCTACCCAAAACCACTCTGATTATCATGAGATACCTCTTTGCCTTCCTCAATCAGTGAGTAGCCTTCACAGTAAACAACTTGGCTCTGTGTCTGTCTATTCATTCATCTTAACGTACTTATTGAGTATCTACTATGCCAATTGCAGAGCTAGGCTATAAAAATACTTTGTTAAATGGAAAAGGAAAGCCTTTTATGATTGAACTTATGGTCCAGGGAAGGGAAGGGAACAGACAATAATAGATACACCAGGTAGGAGAAGTGTTAAGAAGAAAAAAAGAAGAAAGACAGTGATAGAGTTCAGTTTCAAGAAGAACCAGTTTAGGCAGGTGCTTGCCAAAAAGGCCTAAAAAAACAAGGTATGAACAGTAGCCTAGAGGAAGTAAAAAGCTGACTGTAGACTTGAGTCACAGTAATAGTGAGTCTGAAGTTGGGAAGTGACTCAAAGAGAAACGTGTTATGATCTAATTTAGGTATTTTCAAACCTGACAACTGCTTTCTAGATAAGTTAGTGCATAGGGTCATGAAAAGAAGGGAGACCTATTCCAAGGTTGTTAAATGGTCTAGACAAGGTGTTGAAGGACTGGAAGATAGCAAACAGAGTCAGGCTTGGGGTATATTCTGAACACAGCATTGACAGTACTTGAAAATGGGCTGGGTATAGAGTGTGAGGTAAGAGAAATCATAAAATTTTGACATAAACAAAAGAGAAGTAGTGATGAATTTATGGAGTAAAGAAGAGGAAAGAATCATACCCATATGGATGTGGTTGTTTTAAGAATCTGTTAGACATCCAAAATACTCTAAGCACCTGACCATGGGAGCCAGATCTGGGGAAAACTTGACGTAGAGATACTTTGACATGAGTAACCTATAATGAATGTGGCTAGAAAATGGTCTCAGGACCAGAGTGGTCATGCATGGGCTTAGGTGGGACATTTTTTCTTGTCTAAGCAATGTGCTGTAGCCTCAGACAGTCAGGAGTCCCATGTGACAGTAAAGGAGCAAGCAGGAACATGTGCCTCTTAGGCACCTCTGCCTTCATTTGCTCAACAGTCTAGAGCAAAAGGTATAATCTGGTGGTCAGAGAGGCACTCAGATGTGTTTCCTTCGGGTTCATTGTATTTTGAAAATATTAAACAATATTTAACTATTTGGAAATTCTTTTTAAAATTCTAGAGTTCTGGCTTCTTTAGAAAAGTTAAATCTAACATTACTAGACCTGCATTATGTGGCATTATGTGATTCCTGTGGGGTCAAGGCTGCCTTCTAGGTGAGGCAGGCACTCCTTAGCTTACCATATTCCCTAGTCCTCGCCATATTGTCATCTATCATCATGCTGACTTAGTAGGTTTTCATATAGCCAAGAAATAGTTTTCCAGATTCATGAATCCATCAAAATGGAAACAAAAGATAAGGAGCTAGAATGTTCTAGCACATCGTTTGTTTATGAAGTCTTCATTACATAGTTAATCTATTATAACATTAGAGTCCATTTCACAAGCCTTGTCTACATATTCATGGTCAGCTTGGCCTTAGAGGCATCTGGGTTAGTGGCCCCTGCCTAAGACCTTTTTGGAAAGCCCACATCATCACTCACCCCACTGCTGTTTCTGCAGAACTATGAAGAATCCTGATTCTACAGCCTGCATCCTCCCTAAGGCTTTGTCTGCCCTATTCACTGGCCAAGCTGTGACTCAGCACCCCATCTGTCCTTGAGGTAAATTCCTCATGACTCACTGTGTTCACCTGTGGCCTGGAAACACTGCTCACTCTCCAGTTAGTTCCTTTAGAACCACAAGTCACTGTCTGCTCACATTGACCAAACATACCTTCAACCTAAGCCTACTTTGTCCCCTGTGAACTAGGAACATGATGGTAGTGGCTAAATGGGGTGGCAGGTAGAGGCAGAGAAGATCTAGGATAACTGTTTTCTTTCCCTGAGCTTGCAGAGAAGAGAAACAATAGAATAACCATCATAGAGTATAAGAGACAGTGGCCGTTGTTGAAGAAAGCATGGAAATGGTACTAATTTCAGCCATTAGCTTTGGTTTGTTTACTAATTATGAAACGATTGCTTTGTTCATCAAAGAGATGTTATATTGAAAGGGCTAGAGAGATAACTCAACAGTTAAAAGTATTTCTTGCTCTTTCAGAGGACAAGCGTTCAGTTCCCAGCACCCACATTGGGCAGCTCATAACTACCTGTAACTCCCAACTTCAGAAGATCTGACTCCTCCTTCTTGCTTCCACAGGCATACACCTACATATAAATAAAAAATAAAAATAGCCAGGCATGATGGCACACGCCTTTCATCCCAGCACCAAGGAAGAAGACAGAGGCAGGTGAATCTCTGTGAGACCAAAGCCAGCCATAGAGAGTTCCTGTCCAGCTGGGGCTACAGGGAGAGCCTGTCTCAAAAAATAAAAAATCAAACGTGGAAGATCCAAACCTGAGTACGCCACCTGATATTTGACAAAGGTGCCAAGAACACACAAGGGAGGAAAGACAGCATCAAAAAATATTTTTAAGAGTGTTATATTGAAAAGATACAATATTAATAGTCACAGTCTCTGAAAATAATAAATGCAGGACACAGGTGGTAAAGTCCACCTTGGTAGGAAGATGACAGCTGATACTTATATAGTTGCCAACAAACATATAGAAGAATTTAATAGGTGGTTCTTTATGGAGACTATACCTGGACCCACATTTGGGGATGTGCACTTTGATCCTAACCAGTTTATTCTTGTGTTGTATACATCCTCAATCTCAAGGAACCAAACAAACAAACGTCTCACAGTGTCTGTGGGTTGGCACTCAAGGTACAGCTTAGTTGAAGACTGTAGTCCAAGGTCTCATGTTGTTGTGAAAATGTTGAAGGTCTCACCTGAATGCTCAACTTGGGGAAGTTCTGCCTCCAGACTCACAAAATGTGCTTTATCCTTACAGTGGAATATTATTTAGCTGTGAAAAGAAATGAAGTACTGGCACATGCTGCAACGCAGAGGAGCCTTGAAAACATTGTGTTGCGTGATACCAACCAGATACACACAAAAATATCTAAATATTGCAAGAGTCCATGTATGTGAAATGTCCAGAATAGGCAAATCCATAGAAACAGAAAGTAGATTCTGGTCGCCAGGATCTGAGAGAAGGCTGTCTAGTGAGTGTACGGTTTCTTTTGGAAGTAATGACAATATTGTGAGACTAGATAGTAGAAATGGTTGCATAACATTGTGAATATACTAAATGCCACTGGGTTGTGTGTTTTTTATTGGTTAATTTTTTATTTAGCATACAAAGTGATGGGTTTCATTGTGACTTTGTCATCATATGTATCATTATACCTTGTTCTCATTTGCCCCCTTGCTGACCCTCCCCGGCTCACCCCATCTCGCCGATCCTCTTCCCATCCCTACATAGCCCACACGTCTGCTTTGATGTCACTTGTGTTCCCTTGCCCTTTCTTTCTCCCTTTCCCTTCCACTTAGACCTTTTCATCATCTCTCATAGTTCCCATTCTTTCATATCCTATGCATATATGTGCACACACACATACATTCTATATATGAGAAAATGCGATATTTCTGTTTGTGAATCAACCTTATTTCGTTTCAGGTAATGATCTTTAGTTCTCTCCATTTTCCTGCCAATGTTACAATTTCATTCTTTATACCTGAATAAAATAGCATTGTGTGTAGAAGCCACATTTTCTTTACCCATTTATCTGTTGATAGACCTCTGACCTAGTTCTTTACCTTGTTTATTGTGAATAGTGCAGAAATAAACATGGAAATGCAAATATGTCTGTAATATGTTGATTTAGAATCCTTCAGGAATATACCCAGGAATGGTATAGCTGGGACATATAGTACTTCTATGTTTTATTTTATTTTTTTATTTTTTTGTCTTCTTGAAACAGGGTCTCCTTGTAGTCCCAGCTGACCTGAACTTACTATGTAGACCAGGTTGGCCTTGAACTCACAATGATCCACCTGCCTCTGCCTCCTGAGTGCTGGGATTAAAGGCATGCGCCACCACGCATGGCTCTATGTTTTATTTTTATTTGTTTTGTTTGTTTTTTGAGACTGAGTAACCCCAGCTGGCCTGGAACTTACTCTGTGGACCAGACTGACCTCAATCTCACAGAGATCTGCTTGCCTCTGCCTCCCAACTGCTGGGATTGAAGGCGTGCACCACCATGCGTAGATCACTAGGTCTATTTTTAGTATTTTGTGGCACCTTCATTCTGATTTCCACCAATACTATGTAAGGATTCCTCTTTCCCTACATCTTCATCAGCATTTTCTTGATGGCAGCCATTTTGACTGGTATGAGATGGAATTTCAATGTACCCTTCTCTCTCTCTCTCTCTCTCTCTCTCTCTCTCTCTCTCTCTCTCTCTCTCTCTCTGTGTGTGTGTGTGTGTGCGTGTGTGTGTGTGTGTGTGTGTGTGTGTGTGTGTGTGTGTGTGTTCTTTGGGGTCTTCCAAGTATAGGATCACAAATAGTAATAATTTTGAGCTTTTTAATTTATTTTTTATTTTTAATGTGTATGAGTATACTGCCTGCATGTGTGCAAGTGCACCCATGTCATGCAGTGCTGGCAGAGGTCAGAAGAAGGCATTGGATCCCCTGGAACTGGAGTTACAGACAGTTATTAGTCTGGGTGCTGGGACTTGAACCAGGTCCTTTGCAAGAGCAGTCAGTGCTCTTAACCACTGAGCCACCTCTCCAGCCCCCAAGCTTTTGTTTTCTATTTGTATTTTTTTCTACTTCTTTTGTTTTACTGCTTGAACTAAGATTTAGAGCACTGCATTGAATAAGAGTGTAGAGTGAGCACTCCTGTGTCTCATTCTTGGTTTTAGGGACAAAATGCTTTCAGCTTTCACTCATTTACTATTGCTGCATATAGCCTCATTATGTTAATATATATTCCTCCTATTCCCAATCTCTTTAGGGCTTCTATCATCAATGGACATTGTATCTAGTCAAAGGCCTTTTCTATATTGAGTTCATCTGGTTTCTGTCTTTCAGTCTGTGTGCTATATCA